TTTTAGGTTGGCTCCGGTGAGGCTGTGGACATGTTATCTAGCGGGTGTTATCTTGCGTCTTGGTTGGGCTATGGACATGTAGGCGAAAAAATGTTCAGATGTTGAAAAAAGAGGTTCAGGAACGTTTTGCGGGCATTGGCTCCGCTTGCGTAGGCAAAAAAATGTTCAGAGGTTGAAAAAAGAGGTTGAGGGGTTGAATAAATAGGTTGAGGTGTTGAAAAAATAGGTTAGGGGGGTTGAAAAAGTAGGTTAGGGGGTTGAAATAATAGGTTAGGGGGTTGAAAAAAGAGGGTGGGGGGTTGAAAAAATAGGTGGAGGTTGGAAAAATAGGGTCGGGGGGTTGGAAAAATAGGTGACCCACAAAGAAAGCGTCTTCTTTTTGTTCAGTGTGTGTTTGTTCTGCAAGTCAAGGTCTAGCATCAGTAATGTAAAGTGCTAATCTCACTGGGAAGTCATAACTGATAGAGCTCTTGCGAGCATGGATCTAAGTTGTGTGTGTGTGTCAAGCAAAAGTACTTGGGACCAAACCGCCCCGCCCGGCTCGAGCACATTAGCTCCCCAAGTTCCGCCGACCGTTCGCGGAACACCCGCCGGGTGCCTGGTGCCACGTTCAGTGTGAGTCGGTCCAGGCTCCCGTAGATTGGGTGGAAAACAGACTCGTGTTTCGCTGAAGAAGGGAATGGATCCTAAGGCATCTCTTGTGGGGGTTCACTCCCTCATTCCCTACTGAGCACCAGTCAGAAAAGCGAAAGATGGAGGAGTGGATGGAGTCGATGGGGGGGTGGATGGCTGACCTCCATGAAAGACACTGGTGGTGACCTCTTTGACACCTTTGGTCTATGAGATCGAGTGATGGAAGGTCTTTGACTTTCTTAGTCGTTTTCTTCATGTTGGATGAACATGCATGGAACTTGGAAGTGTTGGAAAATAAGACTGTCCCTGGACAGTCTTCCGTCTTGACATCATGTCCATTGGTCTCGTCCAAGAACGACGAACGATGTGGCTGTGGGTCATGGTACCTGACCATCCTGGTTGACCGAAAATGAACAGATTCCTCTATGTTCGGATGTCAACCGAAACCATGGTCTGGTGGAAGAGGTGTCATGACTCACAGCCACATAACAAATGTCCCCCAAAAACGGTGTCAACATCCCCTTCCCCCCTTACCGCCGGTGCCGCCCCGATTGGGTCGCTGAAATCGTACGCCACCTGCCCACGTGAGCCATGCGAGAGCGAAAGCGAAGCAAAGCAGCCGGCCGAGGTGATGTCGGATCTTCGAACCCAGCCGCGAGACCTAAGAGACTGACTGACAGACTGCCCGGCTGACTGACTGCCTGGCTGACTCATTGACTGACTGACTGACTGACTGACTGGGAACGATGAAAGGGATTTTATTGACTTCAGGACATCGGGTGTGTCGGTTAATGCGGCAATGGGCTGCTGTAGGCTATTGAAGTGTTTAGACATTTTGGAGAGAGGTGTTAGGAAGTTGTTTGTTCTTGGGGCCAACGATTTCTGACACTCAAGCTTTGCTTCTGGTTCTTTTGAAGATGGAAAGCCGTGTCCCTGGAACTCACCCCATGGTCCAAAAAAGGAATTCTCCAGAGGGGGAGGTTTATCCTGAGTCATGAGATGGATCATGAGTGTCAACTACCCAAGGGATTAAGTGGTAGGTTTTCTCCCGTTCTTCGTTTCGGTGTGCAAACCCAGACAACACTGACAGACTGGGGGAAGATGACGACGACGACGAGCCAGAGTACTTGCAATTTAAGGCGGGGTCCGCTGAAACATGGATGCGTGACTTGCAAACGCACCGAGCAGTTCCAGAGATAGACAGGTGATTCCCCCAGTTCCCGATTCTGTCACTACTTTGGACTTTGGATGTTGTGTGGTCAATCAACAAGACATCGTATGCAAGTGAACGTTTTTTATAGATCCTACCACGCCAGGAGGCTCACAAAACCCTTGGTTGATATTTGGGGTATCACCGTATACAGAAATGATTCAACTATCGAATGCATTCATTCCCCCTCTGAAGATTTTCTCCTAGCAAGCCAAATTCTTGTCAGAGCATTCTGAACTCCTCCAAAAAGAGTGCTTGCCAGCAAGCAAGATTAAGATGGCCTCCACATTTGTCCACTCTATGTTAAATATATTAATATATAGAGAGAGAGAGACACTAGTCACAATCTGATAGCCACGACATGTGGCCCATGATGTGACTCAACAAAGATCCGACAAAAATAGAAACACGTTACAAACAAGATACTATCCATTACCACTCTACTTGTTTGCACTGGAGCCATTGGTGGCACCAGTAGCCTACATGCACCTATTCTCATCTATTCCCCCAAACAAATCTCCCCCAAAATCACTGGGTTTTGTTTTGCTCCTTCGCCTTCGCCTTTGTTTTGCTCCTTGTTTTGCCCTGTTGTTGTGCTCCTTCGCCTGTGGCAAGCAGGTCATTCTCCTGGGCGACGGCGCCGTCGGCAAGACCTCTCTGGCAACTAGGTTCTGCGAGGCCAAACGACCCGGTGGGAGGGCGGGAGGGGGTCAGATGGTTCGTGGCTTTCTCCGCAAAGAGGCTTCATCCACTGCACCCGAAAGGCTTCCGTTGGTTTCTCCGTTGGCCATTTTTGCGAACTTTTTGTCTCAGTCCCGGATTGGAGTAGTTCGGGGCCAATGGCTGAGGATGCACAAGTTGAGGCTTGAGGCCTGTATACTGAATGGAGTTCTCCATGAGCGTTTGGGAGGTGTGAAAAAACCCTATGGATCCTCCCGGGGAATGGTTTTTATCCGGCTCGAACACCGGTTCGGACCCTCGGTTTGTCCGGCCCTCGGGGGGCCCGGACCTCAGGCTCCGTTTGTTCCGGAGTGCAGGTCTTTTCGGAAAGACCTGCGATGTTGGATGACATGGGTTTTGTGCATCCTATGATGTGGATTTATGCATCCTATGGCGCGTAGGCGGTGTTGAAACCTCGAGGTTTCTTTCAGGACACAGTCCTTCCTTTCGCTATCTTTCGATGCAGCTGGGTTGGGCTGCATGTTTTTCTCCATGGTCTTCCAGGTGTTAGACTTTTGGATCAATTCTGGGCCCCGAACCTCATTTACAGTTCGTAGAAAAACTGCGTGCATCTCCAACCGAACCAACCAGCCAAACTGATCCAGCCAAACCCATCCGGCCTTTTGGTTGAGCCCTATGAATTTCATTGCATTCCGGTACACAGCATGATATCTACATCAAATCTACACGAACGTGTCTACTGCACTTGACCAAAAGAAAGATACAACAAAGATAAACACAAAACGAATTCCACATAGAAAAGTGCTTCTCCAATATCAAGATGTAGAGAATGGTTCCATTAGGTTTCATCTTTGAGGTCGACCTCTGTTCGTGCCAGACTCGTCGCGACCCCCTCCACACCGCTGCGGACCGTGTGGCGCGACAGGATCACTTTGCAAAGCAATACAAGCAGACCATAGGCCTGGTCCGACCTCCGGATCCGACCACGAAAAAGAACGGGTCCGCCACTGATGCAACGGTGCACTTGATTCACATTCTGGCCCCCTACCAGAATGATTCAGCTTGCAGAACGAAGCTTGGTGGAGTTGCGCCTATGGAGAATTGACAGAATGATTCATTTACGTTTGACACCGTTGGAAGATCCACCGCAGCCGAGTGCGTGCGTGCACCCACGAACCCACTCGCCTCGGAGCTCGGGTCGTCGGGTGGAGTCGGTGGTCAACGGGGGCGGTGTGCATCGGCGGCTTCGTTGGCTTCGTTGGGTGGATGTTCTGGTCTTGGAATGTCTTGGATATCATGACATATCATGGCCATAGGCCATAGTTGTCTCATGTGTTAGACGTCTAGGACCCTCCAGTCGGGGTGTCCAGACCGCCCCTTAGCTGTTAAGAGGTCAGGTGTAGACCCTCTAGGTTTTGAGGGATGTCTCGGGCTGTGAACGGAGCGTATGTTTTATATTAGCTTTAGAATGCTTTAGATTACTTTAGATTAGCTTTATATATCATAGTATAGGACATCATAGGACGATGTAGGTAACACAATGCAACATACCGCTAATATAAAACATATTGGGGTGTTATATTAATTAGGTTCTCTTTTTCGGACGATTTTATCCGACCTTATTGTTTAGTCTCTACCGACCGGTCGACCCGCCGGTCGACCGGTCGCGACGTCGATGACGCTCGATCCCCACCGAGGTTTTGCGTTTGTTTTCGGAGATGATCTTGAAAAACCATGAGAAACCTCTACTTGGGGATGATTGGCACCATATAAACAAACGTGTTCGATGGTGTTCGCATGTTTTTTGCGAGTTTTTTGGTTCGCGAGTTGAAGGCACCAACCATGCAGCCAAATGATGCTGAAAGAAAGAGCGTCCTCTTTTGGGTGAACGATGTATCCAAGGTCGGCGGTGTGTTTCGGATTTATGTTCCATGATTTTTGTATATTTTTGTGAGGTGGGATTTCTAGGTTTTGTCATTTTCAGAGTCGGGAGCCTTTTTGAGGCCTGGACTTTTTTGTGAAGCGGGTGGTTCTCCCGGGCGACATTCATGTGGCTCGGCGGCATTTCCTGCGACATTGTGCGAACAGTTCCCGCTGGAGGTTGACCTGTCCCGGGGTTCCTTCCTCTATGACTCTATGTGGTCTTATACCTGACCCCATTTCCTCTGGCCATGCTAGGAACAAGGACGCTACGAACGGATGCTACGGGTCAACCCCTGCCAAACGTCTTATGGGCCTCCTCACCGTGCACGGCGTGGTACTGTAATTGATCTATGAGGAGTGCGGTGAAAAAGTGCAAACGGCGTTGGTGGAAATGCTTGCTAAAACATGGGCTTTCCTTTCTTGGCTGAATGGGAGCGGCATAAACATGACTTCAAGAAGTTGAAGATGCTAAGGTTTGGAAGCATTTTCACGGAATGTACAATGATCATAAACCACATCAAAGCCAATCACTGTGGGTCAACGGGGTATATTTCTGCGAGGCTGTTGGACATGCACGTCAGTGGAAAAAGACGGAATTCAGACCAGATTTTGCTTGTGCGCATTGGAAAAAATTGGTCAGTTCCAATCATTTTGTATAAATGTGATTTGGGACAGGTACTTCAATATATGGCTCTTGTGGTTGGGTCCGCAGTTTTATATCTATAAAATGGCCTGCATGTCCCCCCCATGGTAATGGGGACAGGGATGTCTTCTCCTACCCCGCAAAGGCCTTTTTGGGCATGGAAACCCCCACGAAACTGCTCAACTAGACTTGTCAGCAGTGCCAACAGGATCTGGCATGGATGCATGCGAGATCGAGTCACCAGTGAACGGATCGGGAGGAGGTTCTCTCCGGTGTGTTGGTGGCCTGGCACCGTGAACCACAACGGTGGGTAGGTGGACGAGTTGGTGGTGGTCCGTAAGCTGTAAGACGGTGGACGTCGCTAGAGATCGGTCGGGGGGGTGTCCCAGTCATTTACTGTGACTTGCCATCGGAATGTCCGAGGTCTGCTATGTATCACTTTTGGTTGTATCTCTGACGATGGATGTCGGGACTAGCATTCGGCCGAAGCATGATCCACTTAGGGCCCAGGGCACGGTGAAAGCATGACTCTTGGAGTCTTCCTGCAAATCTACCAGGAGTCATAGAGCTTGGGGCGGCTTTTGTTATCTTTTGTTCGTCCCATCCAGTGGATGTGACAGGGGCACCCCAAACCTCCATGGATAGCACCCCTTTGTGACTGGTGACGGAGTCTTCCTGCACTTGAAGGTGATCTCTTCTCCCAAAGTCAGATGGAATTTCCTGCACCCTTCTCTCACTCATTTTTCTATTCGAGCGGGGGCCGGGTGTTTTGGGGCGAACCAGAGGGTGAGTGAAGAACCACGGCCTAACTTGGGGCTTAAAGCAAGCATATACCTGGGAGTTTGGTGGCACAAGTAGATGGCACAAGCATGGTTCGAATGGTTAAGATATGGAGCCTGGCCGCATTTGCCATGAGACAAAACGATTCCAAAGTTGTGTATCCTCAGTTTGCGTCACTCTGAATTCATTCAGTGAAAGCTGTTCATACCCCAAGCAGCTACTAGGAACAAAGGGCATCGCTACTAGGAGCGATCGGACACTACGTTCGGGGCTCCTGGCCTTACTACTAGAAGCAAGAAGCTACTAGTAACAAAGAGCATTTCTACTAATTAGGATACCCCAAGGGTTCTTGTTGGCTCATTGAGGTTTGCTTGCAGATCTGGGACATCGGAGGGCAATCCATCGGCGGGAAGATGCTCAGCACCTTGGCGCCGATCCCGATGTTGGGAGGTTCTTCAACGTGGCAAGTCGCTGGCAAGTGACTCTACTTGGAATCCGAGGATATCCTGGGTTTGATGGGTGTCTTTTCACCTTTTCTACGATGGAGACCAAACCACTTCTGAATAATGTTTGGTCCACAAAAAGTTGTAGTGGTGGTCTAGACGGTCTAGCAGTTGTTTATTTAGACTTTTGGGGGAACCACCAACTCCCGAATGCCGGACTCACTTTCACGGGTGCTGGACATAGCAGGCGGTTGCTGACAAAACACGCCGATTCTGCAGCTCGCCGCCGCGCCGAAGGGGCCTTCCAGGCTTGGGGTTGATATCAAAACTGCCAGATTCCCTGCAGATGTGCTCCATTACAAAGGCTCTTTTTTGGTTGAAGGGCCGAAGGGGGTCCTCAAAGTGTTCGCCAAGTCTTTGCGAAAGCTCACTGCAAGGCAACTATACCTACGGTTCCGGTGCTGCCGCACGCTTAGTTCGCTGGACAGAAAGAACTGATGAGTGAATGATCTTGGACCCGATGGTCAAGGTGCTGTAAATCCGGTTAAATTAAACAATCAGTCTTAAAGGGATTCGATTTGTGCCATTGTTTCCCCAACTTCTCTAGCTTGTTGGCCTCTGATGGCCTCCTCATTCCTATACTCAAGATTGGCTGTCAGACCCTCACGCACGCACTCACTCACTCACTCACTCTCTCTCTCTCTCCAGGAGGTTCTTCAGCAATCCCATCATCCAGAAATTATTTCCTCGGGATGTTCTTTTTCAAGTCTCGACTCGTTCGCCTCGACTGAGGTGGTGCTTTGCTACGACATCACCAACTATGCAAGTTTTCAGCACTTGGAGGACTTCCTCCCTCAATTTTGCTCGGATCCGCAGCGTCTTTTGGGTGCGGAAACAGGGACAGGGGTGACCAGAAGGGATATGATTTGATCTACACGCACACTCACCAATATGGACGTGTAAAACCCCTGCAAAAGTGCGAGCAAAATGGTCTTCCCAGGGCCGATTTTCCACATCCATGTTAAGGTTCTGTACTGTATAGAAGAATGCCTTGCAGTTTGCGGTTTTCAGTACCCTTTTCTCTTCATGTATGATGTGGTTGAGGAATGAGGAATTATAGTAAGTGGCTGTACAGTACCATTTACCATGCTTGACGGATTTCTTCGATACATCGCGTGCCCAGAACACCAACAACGGCGTTGCACGGCGTGTGCTTTTCACCGAGAGTACTGCTGCTACCTCCCTCAATCGCGCGCCTGGATGGAAGGACCTGAGGGATGCTGAAGGACCTGAGTTATCTACATCCTGCAAGGTCCTGTGGCCTTCCAAATGATGCGGTCAACATATGTCCAAGTGTTATTTGCATGGCTAGAGTCCGGCCAGACAGCCATGCAAGACAGAGAGGAGGAGCGCTGGGACCAGCTCAGAGGACCCAAGGACATCCACCGCTGTGGAGATTCAGGGACTTTCCGAAGCTGTGTGCATCAGCCGGAGGCCATGAGCCCGTGGGCCTCGGATGGTTGGCAAACCGAAGCTTCCGAGTCTGGACACTGATCGGAGTATGAAGGCCTCCTCTCAGACGGAAGGACGCCACAGATGGAGGTCCAAATAGGTCGAAAGTGTTCCCTCTATTTGATCTAGGTGGTGCAGTAGATGGTTTTTAGGTGGTGCAGGATGTCTCCCATGCCAACACGCTCTGTGTGAAAACACCGGCCCGAAACCCGGTCCCCTTCCACCACCGGGTTTTTGGACCCGGTCCACCGGATGGACCGGACCGAACGCCAGGACTGGTTGTTCTTGGTGAAACGCACCTTCGACCAGACTCCCATGCCGTCCGGGGAACCTGGACAGTTTCTCCGAGCTGAGGAGGAGCGGTGGCAACATCCACGTCTTAACATCCGATGTGGGGCCCGGCCGTTCGGAGTGAGCCGGAGCCCTCGTGAGCCGGATGGATCAATTGGACGGAATGCGGAGCCCGCGAAGTGAAATCGAGGTCATGGACAGGTGAACCTGCAGGTCAATGGATCATTACAAGGACTCAGGGTACGTGGTTCCAGCATTCTTCGGAGGTGTTGTCAGTAGTGTTTCTCTTGTGTAAAATGAACAATTTGATACAATTTGTATGATGTATTATAAATATATATCACTTGTGAGGATCACCACCAACAAATCGCTTTTTTGCTGTTCCATGGATCAATTAGTGTGGCTCATGATGGCTCAGATGGCTTTCCTTTGCAGCTCAGCTGAGGTACACTGCATTGATGGGAAACAAAGCAGACCTTTCGCACATTAGAGCCGTGAAGACGGAGAAGCACAGCCAGGCATGGCGACGGAGAAGACGGTGAACCGTACGGTCAGAAGAGGAGAGAAGTTGTTGTTCTTTTTTTAAATGAAACTTCCAACTTGCTTTCCTTTACTGATAAAACAAGGCACATGATGATGGTTCCTATAGTTCTCAGATAATTACTATAATATCAATGTTGGTCATGCTTCCGTGTAAGATTTGCACTCCCTTGCCCACTGCTGGCCCCGCAGTTCGCGGACGAGAATGACTTGTACAGCTACTTTGTTTCAGCGCGAACCGGAGATCAGGCTGGGTTGGGGCCCGGCTCGGCGGAGGGTCGCCTGGAGGACGAAGACGGCTCCACCAAGGTTTGCCCGAGCAGTCCACCATTTTGCTACGGACCCTTCCACCAGGTAGGTCGTGCCCAGTCGGTCTGCTGGTGCCATGACCCAGCCCATTGAGGATGAGGCAAACGGCTCGCGAGTTCGAGGACATCCTACGACAGGAAGTCGACATCATTCGACATCTCTTCGGTCAGGGGTCAAAATCGCTTGAGACTGCCAGATGTGTGTGGCTCCGGGTGCATCCGGTTGCTGGGCAGGGGTGAAAAACCGTTCAAAGCCTACGTACCTCAGCAGTGACCCCTGTGAAGACTGGTTAGCCTTTACGCTCTTCTGTGGAACCTGGAGAAAGGCATCTCAAAGGTGTACTTTCCTTCTGAAGGAGGGTGGTCTTGGAATATCTTTGATCAAGGTTAAAGGACCCATAATCTATCATCTTGAAGCACTTCAAGCAAGTACGTAGATACCGGAAACTTGGAAGTTCTTAAAGCCATCGAAAGTCATCCTCCCTTCCCTCCAAAGGCGTTGTTCTCCCCCCACATCCTTCACCCTTTCCCTTCACATGAAACGAGATAGGAATTCTCAGGATTATATACCTAACTCATCCTTACCTTATGGCCTCCACCCTAGTAGCGATGGCCTCCAACCTAAAATAGATGGCCTCCAACCACACCATACAAAGCGCTTTGTTCAACTGGCGTTGCCTCCCTTCGCTGCTCAAACCGCCGAGTCGCCAGGTTCATTCCGCTTTCTTCCGGATCGCAGCGGACCTCGCCGGCGCGGGTTCTGAGCGAGCGGACGTGCTCCTGGTCCGGTGGAAGGGGTCTGGACGCAGGGCGGGCGACGGGGCGACGGGGCAGTAAAGACCAGAAAACATTGGAACATTTTAAGGTGGGAAATTCCTGTTTTGATTCGATGTCGTTCCATTTCATGCCCTAGTAACCAGGACGCGACGTAATGCTCGGTTGGAGGCCATCGCTACGAACGGAACAAGAAGCTACTAGGCAGCTATGTGTTCCCTACAGCGGAACTTGAATTCCCACCTGGCATGGCGGAACGCTCTGGTGGCGGTCCTAGGTGTGTCCTTGACGAGACCTGAGCTGGAGGCCCACTCCGGTCGGAGATGGAGGGGGTTCGTGGACCATCCAGGCGAACGTCAAGTAGTAATCGCTTCAGTAGAAATCTCTACACTCCGACTCACTAACATGGAATGGGTTCAATGTGGTTCAATGGCCTTTCAGACCTTGGCAAGGTCACCTTTCCTCTACATGTGTGTGGCACGGCTCCTTCCATGTGTGTGTGTGTGTGTCACCCCCTGTAACTAAGGGTTCCACCTCTCCTCCCACTTTCAACTTTTTTGAGCAGGGGGGCCAGGCCTGTCACATCCAACCTGGCCCAACGAAGCTGGGATGTGACAGGGGAAGCACCAGAGGACGCTTTGGTGTGTACCTGCCACAACTTTTGCACAAGCTGTCCAATTCCCTGTTTTGTTTCCATGGTGGTTCACGATACTTCCCCCAAACCTACTCTTCCCCAGCAGCTGCGCCGCCGTTTCGTCCGCTGCTGTCGCGAGTCTGCAGATGCGCACAAACCACTTGTTCAAACATCTACAATTGATCGGACTCCTCACCTTACCGTTGAGCCATTCCTTTCCTTGGGGAACTGAGTTAACTGAATACAATTGTCAGAGTGTGTTTCGCTCAGCCGTCCCACTCGGGTGCTGAGTGTGATCCCCGTCATTGGGGCGCTGTCTCATCGTGCAAGCACTAACTGACCTCACCACCTTTCACAGGAACTCCACTGGAAGTCACCTCCACGTCCACCGAATTAACTGCCACAATGGCCGCCGGGCCTAAACACGGGAACTGACAGCGTTGCAGCACTTGCATTTTTGAGATGTTTGACGGCTAAGTATTCACATGTGCATGTGCTGCTAAGTATTCGCAGGCCGGACGAATTAATCATGCACTTTTTCCCCCTCCCTACCCCTGGGCCTCCTTTGCTACCCCACCCGCTACTCGGGAAACAGAAGGAAATCGCACTCAACACACTTGTGTGTTGGTGCCTTTCCTTCTGTTTCTCCTAGCCTATTGCTAGCTACCCGGGCGGTTTAAGACAAATGTCCCGCTCGCGCTCTACTTTCATTTAACTAAGTGGGCCTCGTAACTACCCCTATCTTTCTTTCTTGCCCTCTTAGTCTGCTTTTGTTTTGTTTGCTTTGTCTGTCTTTCTAAGGCTTTTTAGGTGGCTATTAGTTTTTCGCAGCGCCAATATTGGCGCTTTCTGTACAAAGTTCCACCTTCAACGTTCTACACACTTGCGCCGGAATCGGCTGTTTGTGTGTGTCACCCCCTGTAACTAAGGGTTCCACCTCTCCTCCCACTTTCAACTTTTTTGAGCAGGGGGGCCAGGCCTGTCACATCCAACCTGGCCCAACGAAGCTGGGATGTGACAGGGGAAGCACCAGAGGACGCTTTGGTGTGTACCTGCCACAACTTTTGCACAAGCTGTCCAATTCCCTGTTTTGTTTCCATGGTGGTTCACGATACTTCCCCCAAACCTACTCTTCCCCAGCAGCTGCGCCGCCGTTTCGTCCGCTGCTGTCGCGAGTCTGCAGATGCGCACAAACCACTTGTTCAAACATCTACAATTGATCGGACTCCTCACCTTACCGTTGAGCCATTCCTTTCCTTGGGGAACTGAGTTAACTGAATACAATTGTCAGAGTGTGTGTCCCAGCGCAAGACCTCTGGATTTGCTCGTTTGGTAGTCTTTCTGAGAGAGACCAACCAAGTATGAGTATGAATCAACATGTGTCTTTCCCCATGGATCGTTATTCCATGGACACAACTGACCACTTATGATTGCTTTGTAGCTGGTATTGTTCCTCTCACGGAGGATCACGGAGGTGTTTTTTCTCATGGTTTCTTCTATGTTGCTGCTTTTGTTGACCAAGGAAAGAGGTAGACATAGGTAGACGACCTAGGGAATGCCCGCGAATGACCTGAATGAACTGAATAAGCTGATCCACGGATACTCACGACACATGGCTGGCGCCATGTTCATCAGGGCACCCAGACCCCGAAGTTCAATGGTCGACCTCCTGTCCCGCGTATACGTATCTAAATATAATAGCCATGTGTGCACAGACTAGGTCGTTTGTTCTGTGAATGTTCGGTGGGAAAAAACAGGGTCCCTCGATGCCATGACCATCGACGGCATGTTTTTTCATGGAGCATGCTTCGTCCTCGTTCCGGCATCGATCGACTCTGAGGTGGTGTGCTAGAAAAAGGCGATCTCTCCAGTTGAACACCCGACAAAAACATGCAAAAACATACACAAAATCACAAGATACACTGCCCAAAAGTTGCAGGTGTTTTCCAACCGAATCTCGCTTGGAAGACGAGAAACCAAAACCGGTTCACACCGTGATCCTCAGATCCTCGTCAACTCTGATCAGTTCAGGGCCTGGAGGCCCTGAGGCATCAGGCCTTGAACTAAATGAAGCACAACCAGAATCATTGTCGAGAACCCCGGCTGTGTATTTCCGAGACACAGAAAAGGACTCCCAGTGCATTCGATCAGAGATCTCATACGAACTCTGGAAAGTATCTAAAAAACTAAAAACTTATACGATTTGTGTTTCTAACCCACCACGTTCGGTTCCAACACAAAAACCAACAGATCACGTCAAAAAAAACCACTGCACATCACACCACCAAGTCTTCTTTTCCAGCTGACCGCACGTGGCCGTCAGTGGCCGTGGTCTCAGGTGGAACAAAAGATCACTCGAGCTGAAGTGGTGAACCACCCACGTCGGGGGCCGAAGGGGACAATACAAAGAGGAATGAATGGGGCTGAATCTGAATCAAGGGCGCTAGAGACAGAGTTGTTTTTGATTGTGTATGTTTGTTTAAGTGGACTAAGCATACGTAAGAGTCCTTCATTCACATACACTGAGTCCAGATCCCAGATGCCGGCCAAATTCATTTGGCTTTATGATTTCAGATGTGTTTGTCCAATCGTAAAACTACGTTAACACCGAAAACCAGTGGTTGGGCACTCCGCCCTCCCGCCCTCCCTCCGTCCGATTTGAAGGTTTCTCCACTCTTTTTCCGCCAGGCAACGACCCAGCCCATCCAGAGGCGCCACCGTGGAGACGACACCTCCGACTCCACTGGCCTTCGCGGCGTTCGAGACATTTTCAGCGGACACGATCGAGACGGCTCTTGACAGTCGACACGAGTCATGGGACTGCCATATTGATGCCACCCGATGGATCCCTGTTCAACCACCCCTGGCCTGATCGGTAAATATGTCAGTCCCATGGAGTGTTTGGAAGATGGAGTTGAATTATGTTGTTGTCAGTTAATGTTCCGGCCTTTCATGCAAGTTCGACTCGAGCGGATAGGTCAATGCTGAAGACGTCGGCAAAGAGAAGAAGTGCACTGTGATGTAGTTAAGATGAGAAAATACATATATCTTACACATAATTTGAATATGATTAAATATGATTAAATTATATATTAAAATAGGTTTAATATTTTAAAAATATAAAAACAAACAATCGAATATAGATAAATTAATTATATGGATTGAACATTATAAGTTATTGTAAAATAATTTTGAATTTTAGAATTATAAATAAATAAATTATATATATATATGAATTATATTTAATGTATTTATTTTTGTATATGGGATGATATTTATTATTAAATTTAAATATTGATAATTATTATGTTTATATTGTTTTATCGATTGAATTTGTATTGATTAAAATAATTTATAGTTATATAATTGGAATTACGATGGTTTATATATATTTTTAATATTTGGATATCGATTTATTAAGATTAATTTTATTTGATGGTCGTTTTCGGATGGTATTTATTTTTAATATTGGAATAATAATTGATTATTTATATATATAATATTGGATTAAATAATTCCGATAATATAATTAATAAATGCATCTTAATTGGAAATTGATCTCGCAAAATTAAATTAAACGTTATGCATGGCAATTTCGCATATTGAATATCGAATTCTATATGAATTCTAGATATAAAAATTTATTATCGATTAGTGGGAATTAGAGGCAAATATATATTTTAATTTCACGATTTTTGGTTTATAAGAGAATTTCTCTTCGATTTTGATTATAATTTATGTCTAATTAATCTATTTTTGGCCAAAATCATGAGGCACAAAAGGGATTTTTTACCAAGACTATATTTATTGAAACAACCGGCACTGCTGCGAAGAACTCGCTTTCTGTGCTCGAAAATTCAATACAAACATGATCGTGCGTAGGATTGCTCTGACTGCGTGGTGAGGCGATATACGTACCATGAAATTCGAATTATTTTAGGAAAAAAAATATATATCTAGAAGAATCAATATATTAAAAAAATAAAAATAATATATAGAATATCTATATATATATATTTCAAATCGATATAAATAATTTTATTTATATATGAATTGCGACGCCCATATTTCCCAGAATCATTTCACGAAATAATAATCGATTAAATGAAATAATGAAATCGTTATAGATTCGCGTTCGCCGACGCCGAAGATTCGAATTGGAAGCCTGAAAATGTCAATACTTATTTATTTTTATAATATCCCAAACAAAATTGAATATGCACCTGAGTACTCCATATAACCACTATGTCCAGGCCAGGTGTGTGCATATACAATGTTCATTCTATCCTAGTTTTTGTTGTAGAGGTTTGATAGGTTGCTAGTTAGTTGCAAAGATCGAATTATAGCTTACAATACACGATTTGTGCAGAATATTTTTCCCATAAATGCAATACCCAAAGAATGTATTGGATGGGAGGGGGGGATTGGTAGCGATAGCCAAATAAATTCAAGAGTTTGTCGGTGCAAATTTCACCAAGAAGGAATTAAATAATCAATAATTCCCATTGTTCCTTATAACAACGTTGTCCTTTGGACACCTTTGGCTCCTCACGATATGGAGATTGATTAAATCTGAATTAATGCTCAAGGCCTTTCTTGATGTATTGCCTTTCAATGATTTAATCTTTCTCAATATATTGTAATTCGATTGGAGATTCTCAATATGACCCTTCAAACCTTCCACCATCATGGTCAGATGATTGATGCGATTGCATGACTATTGATATATCTCTTTTGATAAATTGTTGAATTATTGTGTCTAATTTCGGATTCGCTTAGCATTCTCTCAGATTCTGCAACCAACCTCCTATATTAATTTGGGTCGATTCCTATGATTGCAACCTGAATGCGCTCATCATACATGCGTAAATTTGATGAATTGCTGGTTGATTAGTCTAGCTAAAATCTGGCTCGAAAATAAACGATTGATTTTGTTGAAGGCGATTTGATGAAGAAGATCCACGAAATTATCAATGCAATCATTGAGGGGGAATTTGCAGGGGATGCCTAAGGATCACCTACCGGCCTTAGGAGGTTGCGGATGGCTTTGAATACCGGAGTTCGACGTATATTGGATAGCCTCTTCTTTGGTATTCCTGAATCCCCGGATGATTGGGATCTATTTCGAATATGCATTGCACCGGCAACAACGTCTAAAGGATTGTCATTGTTTAAATTAAATGATAATAATTGTTCCTCAAATAATATAAATCAATGGTTAACCTTCAAACCATTCCCAACCCCTTTTTCTGGCGAAAACGACGCTCAATTGGCAAAGGCTCTCGGGAATTGGCCTAACGAGGCTCCTGCGGTGCTGATGCAACCGATCAGAAGCGATGAATTATATCAACGAAAGTTCTGTGGCGCAGCAGCCGATCAGAAGCGGCTTTAAGACGATCTCAAGTCTGTTGGTTCGAATGGTGTTGAATGAATTGTGCCAATCGATCATCAAGCCAAGCCATTGATAAATTGCAAGATCTGAAATTGTCGCCAGAAATCGTTGGAACACAAGGCCTGCGAATCTGAATCGCAATGAGGCTTGCGTCACTGAATTCTTGCAGAACCTCGGTGTTGTCGTCCAGAATCAATGCTTAGCCTCGCGTCAACGATCTCAATGCCTCATATTTATCGTTTCGGCCCATCCTCTCACGGGCGACAATCACACAATCAATTAACAATGCATTCTGTTGAATCGCAATGATGAAGCTCCTCTCGTTCCCCACACTATCGTAAATGCGCGACAAAACAATAATCTTCACCCGACAATTTGGACCCAACCGCTCAATCTCCTGGCGCACAGGCAGATTCCCATTGTGATCCCCATGATTCGGAAGATTGACACTCCGGTCAACGTAAAGGACCTAGTGGTAGTCCAACAATCACCGGATCAATATTTCAATGATTCGGTCGTTCTGCTACCTGCCTCATTGAATCCTGGTTCGTCCACAAGTATATAACTGCAGATATATGTTTAGAATATATAAAATATGCAAAATAAAAAAAATTAGAAAGGAACAAAAATCACATATTTAGAATATCTGACATACCAGGAATGCATCTAAAAACACCTTACTTAGAATATTGGGGAAATGAGACTTAGAACATGTCAGGATTATCCTTCTCTCAGAAACGTTGTATGATGATGCGACATGCATACCAACGCATACCCATGGCAAGCACTTCACTTAGAATATTTACCTATCAAACGAATTCCTTAGTACTTCCTGTGACGTCCACACACTTGGAATATAGGTTTCACAATCATTGCCATTTGTATTTCCTATGATTTAGCTTTGCATCATCGGACACTTACTTAGAACATATATTTTCTCGTGTCCCATCCCCCAAAGTGCTTCCAGCCCTGCAGAAAGCATACTCTTAAAACATCCCTATTACAAGACGTTTCTTGGCATTTGCTGACTAAATGATATATTTAGAATATCTCTCGCGGGTCTCTTGCAAAAATGTATTTCCAAAATATGTTCTAAGTGTTTGTCCGTGAGTATAAAGCGGCCGAAGGCGGGAAAATCAAGGCTTCTTCTCTGTAAATCAAAATAACACGAAACCACGGGTAGATAGTTATTGCAGGCGCCGGGTGGGAATACTTGAGGATGTCGAGGGACCGTTCATCGGCAATCGAATCAATAATGCTCGAATTTCCCTCGCTCCTGCCTTTGCCTTTGGCATAGGGTCTGAAGAACTTGAGAAGCTGCAAAATGAAAGCCAACATTTTTATTTTCGAGTGTATTTTCTCAGACCACCCCCCCGGACCCCCCTTCTTATTCAGCTGGCGCCTTGCCAGGTATAGATATCCAGGATAGCTACCATTCAGATGCCAGGTATAGTACTTCAAGTTCCCTTTCCGTCAATCACTCGATAACCTTTAATTAGTCATGCACAGCAATCCACGGCTTTGAAATCTCATTCTTGCATTGAATTTATATAGGCATGTAAGAGGTATAGCAACATAGCAAATAAATATACGGACCCAGGGTAGCTACAATTCTGTTGCCAGGTATCCCACTTCAATTTCCGTACCCTGGGTCCGCCCGCTGCCGGCTGCCCGTAATTTAGGCGCCCGCGCGCGCGCGGACCCAGGGCAGCTACAAGGCAGTTGCCAGGTATACCCAGGATAGCTATAATTCAGTTGCCAAGTTAGCACTGCAAGCAACCGAAAACAATTGCATTTCTTAAAATCACCAAAAAAATACCTCCAAAACCTTGCTTCCGTGCAACCCTACACACCACCTATTTTCGAGTGTGTTTTCTCAGCATAACTACAATTCAGTTGCCAGGTATAATACTTCCAATTCCCTTTCCATCAATTGTTCGATAGCCTTTACCCATGCACAACAAACCACAGCTTTGAAGTCTCATTCATTCTTTGAATCTATATAGGTATGTAAGAGGTATAGCAACATAGCATATATACGGACCGAGGGTAGCTACAACTCTGTTCCCAGGTATTGCGCGCATAATACTTCAAAGGCGTGGGTTGCTGTGGGTGCATAAAGCTTATCGAACGATTGATGGAAAACGAATTTAAAATATTATATCTGATAACTATACTACAGCTACCCTAGATATCTATACCTAACAAAAGGCCAATTATACCTTACCATTCAGATGATGCAAACAAGGCAAATTACATTTCTTATATCACCACCCCTTAAAAATCACCTCCAACAACCTCAAAAAACCTTCCATCCGTCCACCCTCCTCCCCCAGCATGTGCCGAATTCACGTATATCCTTTGCGGGCCACCCCCCCCAGACCCCCCTAATTATTCCCTTTGCTCACCAACCACAACTCAGCTAGCGCCTTCTATGAAGGCTAACTTTCGTAACTAAAGGTTGGTTTTAACGGACTCCAAAATCTAAACAACAATCTCAACATCCTCATAAAATCCTCACTTACCGCATAGCCTCTAATATCCACCAATGTCGATAAGCGGAACGGTCGCTAGATCATTTCTTTACGTGCCCGCATAAGCAATATATACGTCCCTCCCCCGCCTTTGCGGCG